AGAGGTAAGCCCCATTACTTTGTGACGTTCATTTATTCGACTGAAAGACATAAAAACATGCGACATTATAATTTCACGGTTGTACACAATGATTGCAGACCATACGAGTGGACAAGCTCACGAACGGTACGGTTGTCATCGAACTACAATCACCCGTCACGTTTTCCGACCTCAACGCGTTGCCCAAACGAGACGTCGTCGTCACTCTGGAGGCCAAACAGTCGAGTTTCAAGTTGCAGGGAGTCGTGGTGCCCCGGGTGTTCTGCGATCTCTACCAGACATTAGTCTCGTCCAACGGCCATCAAATAGACTCAAAAAAAGACAGGTGTGTATTATAATAGTTATAACCAACGATCGCCACGTGCCGGGCGTTTGTGAACTATTGCGCGGTATCCATAAAATGCACTCGTGCGTTGCACGGAATTTAATTCGCGCCTCCGTGTAGGTATACCGGGTACTATAAAAACCAAACACACGATCATTTTAAAAATACTTTTGGCATTGCATTGTGATCAATTTGGCAAAACGCGGAAAAGACACACTTCCTCTGAAAGGGAAACTATATAATTTAATATATTATATTATACGGCTCGACGTCTTCAACGAAGTCACCACCTATACCTATATATTATAGTATTATTATGTATGTACCAACCAATACATTTTGCACGAAATGAAAGTTGTAAACTGTAATGGGTTGACCACACGTGTGAATGACCTCGTGTCACTTAAATTATTCATGTGGATGACTGAAAATAATGCAGTTGGTCTATGGTAGTTGATACTACAATCGTACTGGTTGCCAGTCGTTCACCCGAGTAAGTGCCTACGCGTATATCATGCACATTTTCGACGGGATGATGCGAAAAGTTAAAGTAAATATTTACAATATTTTAGTTGTAAAAATGAACTCGAGTATATATAAATATAGCGTGTCATTAACAATAAAGTGCATATAATTCAAATCGTCTACATTGTTTGGTACTCCGTTTTCTACACGACCGGTTGAGATATGTTCGGCGATTACGCTCGGAAATAAATTATTCGCTTAGCGGTTATAACTATCTGGCGTGGTTCCGATTGTTTTGAATAATGCTCTCGTTTTTAATGCGTTTTGGCAGGACCAGTGGCGAGGCTTGGGCATTTATTAATAAGGACGGAGCGTTGGAGTATCGTGTTAAATTTGACAATAACGCAGTCACTGAGTTGGCTATTGGTAAGGTTACAAAAATAGACGCACTCGATTTAACGCAATCCCATTAAACACGATCGTTTAATTTTCCTCTGCGTAATGCAGTTTCTAGCGAGCCCCGTGTGTCGGCTCTCGATATATCCGAGACCATCGTCCAAAACTGGAGCAACGGGACGGTGTCCACCATGGGCCCGGTACACCTGGAACAGTTGTACGCCGAAGAGTTGAGCTTGTTCAGTGCGTCGTCCGGCTTTAAGAATCGATTTCTATGGAGACCGGTGGCTGATGCCAGAGACACGGCAGGCCCGATGCTTCTGTCCAGCCCTGACGAACGGTCGATGGTGGGCATGTTATGGATGACCGTAGACTCCGACTGTACACTGCAATATGAAGTGAGCTTTTGCTATATTTTATTAATATTCTATAAGCTCATCTGTGCTAATGTGCATCACTGCAGTGGGCTATATTATAATCACGATAAAAACAATCGACAGGTCGTCCTATCCGGTTCTAACGTTAAAAATCGCATCTTTGAACTATACATCGAAGACTCGCCGATTTTACTTCCCGGAGCACCGGTATTCAGAAGACTTCTCGAGGAGTTTGAGGGGCCGACGCTCGAAGGGTACACTATCGGCATAGGCCAAGAAGAACTATTACGACTCAATGTTAATATTGTGCACGTGGACCTGTGGGATCCAAAACTGGGACAATCCATACTAAAAACAGAATGGAAATATGTTAGTTATTTTGTTGAGTAAATTTAATCGTTTCTATCTATTTACTTACTCGACATATTATTATATTATTATTATTATTATCAGGTTAATGTCCCTGAAATTTGTCTTGCTCGCGAAGCGGGTGCGGGCGATAACGATTCCAACAATATACTCATGAACGATGACGAAACAGACCATCCACACACGCCACATTTAAGTTGTTTACACGGTCAAAAGTACTATCAACATGGCGCCCAATGGTCATCTTCAGTAGACGAATGTTTCATGTGCAATTGTCATTATGGTAGGGTAATATGTGATCTTATAATTTGTCCAGTAGTTCAATGTACAGTGCCTTCAGCCAAACCAGGAATGTGTTGTCCAACGTGTGAAGGTAAATATAAAATACTTGAGTCTCAAGATGAGACGATGTCAGCGCAAGCATTTTTAAGGGGTTTAATGAAGATAATTTTATCCGAAATCGTAGGTACTCGTTTTCAATTTAGAGTACTGTCACATGACACATCCGCATGTTTTGTCTTCATTTTACAGAAGTAATCTGAAGTACGTATAGCATATAGCAATTTGCGTTCAGCAGCACCAATTTTGTGTTGTTACTTTCAGGTAGATACCTATAGGTTACCTTCAGATACACTATTTATAGAGTCAATTGATTTATATAATTAAACTTTAAAGATGAGCACATTACCTATGGTCGTCCGTTGGTTTTATCTGATATTTTAATTTTTAAGTAAGTTATGAGCATTTTTAAATTGTAATATTTTACATACCCCCGCTTAAAGAGGACTCTACACGCGCATGCGTTGTCTCCTTCTTACAAATGCTCAACATAGCAAAAACTGTTTTGCGCGGGACAACTATGCTCCCTCTGTATTTATAGAAGAATTATCAAAATTCCACAACACATAGGGAAGAACTTTATTTGTGTCGTAGCATTTATGTTTTTTTATAGCACTTAACAATAACTTTTAATAATTAAAGGAAAAAACCTTATGTTCTCAAAATTATAACTTTAATTGTATTTATATTATCCAAAAATAATAAAAATATTTTTAAAAAAAACATACAAGCCGAGGGGGTTTGATATAACCCTTAATATACTTTTATTATAATTTAATTCACTTTAATGTGTCCACACAAAATTGGTTCGACTGCACTCAACTTTCTTTGTTGTACATTGGTAAAACGAAGACTACACATGCAGATAAAACATCCTAAACAATTTTTCGACACTATAAAATTATAGGTTTTGATTTTTGATTTACAAAAATGCGTGTGCTAGGAAACTGTTTATTGTACAAATTTTTTATATTTATTTTTTCATTAGATAACGCATTTCAAAATCAAAATATTTCAACAAACACTTGCTTGCTTGCTGGACAGCAATTTCAAGCTGGCAGTAGTTGGCATCCATATCTACCTCCAAATGGTTTTGACACTTGTACACTATGTCATTGTAATGTTAGTAATTCAAAAAATATATTTAAAAAAATTTATTTTGATAATTTTATTCATTTAAATATTGTCTAGAATACATCTTTAAAAATAAAGTGCCAACGGTTGGACTGTCCACCATTGGAATGTGACCAAAGAGTGGCTATCAGGCCAACAAGTCGTTCCTGTTGTAAGGTTTGTCCATCCACATTGCAAACTACTTCTAAACCGACAGGCCCACTCGTTCAACTAGCTCAGGGCGACCAACAAGTCAATGGAGAAAGTGATTCAGATTTAGAAATACTAACTAACGGTGGCTGCAGTTATCCTGTTGGAGGACCATATGAGAATGGTCAAGAATGGCATCCTAAGATATATTCTCATGGTGAAGTCAAGTGCATCAATTGTAAATGCAAAGTATGTATTAGAAAATTTATAACTTAATGTTATTATGCATTTAAAAATTTTAAAAAGTATATTTATTACAAAATCTCAAAAATGATTGTTCAGATTATATATTTTAGATGGCCAATAACTATATTATAATATTGTTTGTTTATATAATAAATTGCTATATTAAATTACTAATTATTATTTTACTATATTAATTATATGTTTATAAATTATACAGAGATTATTTTAGTATATCAAATCATTATTAACACATTAATCAACATAATTTTATTCTATTTAACTGTAATATGTTTAACTAAATTAAATTAATACTGTCCCTGTATTTCAGTTTTGAATAAAACTATGTTATACTTCAGTTTTTAATGATAATTTTTTTTCAGGATGGAAAAGTGAGATGTGACCGTAAAAAATGTCCAAAGTGGTCTTCGTGCTCAGATCCTTGTTGCAAATCTGTTTGTCGAAGACACAAACGTCAACTATTTAAATTTTAAATATAAACAACACATTGTTCCTGAAAAAAAAAAAAAAATTAAGTGTAATAATGAATAGGTGCAGAATAATTACAAACTTTTATATACAATAACGATGAGACTCATCAAATGAGCAGTCTTAGACTTATGATAATTAATATATTATTATTGTTTACCGAAATCCATAGACTGATATACATAATATATATTATTTTTCTTTTAATGGGTAGCTGATATTATGTAATTGTCAGTATTAATTTAAGAAGTTTGAATGTAATTGAAAACATTTAAAAAAATATTAACTTACTGTAATATTGTAAATATGTAATTTTTTTTTTTTAATTTTAAATTATAAAATTGTTGGCTGTCGTGATAGGTAATTTTTGTTCTCTCATTGAATTTTAGTAAGTCAAAAACATATAAATATTTTATTAAAAACTTGTTTTTGTTTTTAAATGTGTATATTTTTTTTTATACATATATAGATATATCTTATAATTAATATTTATTTACATTACCTATTTTGTTTTACTTTAGACAGACTTTTTTATAAGTTTAATTTAATGCATGTATATTATATACAGTGTTATTGCTATATCAATCTGAAATTTTAAAATGAGTTTATTAAGACACCGAAAAATTCATATGAACATTATGTTACCATGGCAACAATAAATTTATTTTAAAAAGATTATTTTTCTATTATACAATATGAATAATTTATTAATTGATTTATTTCTTTTTACCTGATCACATTATTGAACTATATCTTGAACAATAAAATCGCACTCCGTCCGCATCAGTAGTAGCTCTGGTATACTTAGCTAACATGGTATTTACATTCAATTTATCAGTAGACAATTTCCTATAAAAACACTTTTTTAAATACCATTGAAAAGATCAGGTTATTATTTTAATAATACTCAAGAAATGGTTGTATTTCATTGAATGTCCATTTATTTCTGACTTGAAATAAGTGAACAATTCTTTCTAATATCTCGTCTGGTAAGTCTTGTTCATTGAAATAACAAATTGTCTGTGGATGACTGGATTGATCAACAAGAACTGTACCGTCCAATTGTTTCAAATTTGTAATCATTCCTAGAGAAACCCATAATTCTACATGATATGTCATATTATAATAACAATAAGGGAATCGGTGGCAGACTGTTATTTTAGCCAAAATATACCAATCTTTATTCCATTATACTGATCAACCTAGTAATAAGATAATACTTTTTACAACTACAGTAAAACCTCGTTAAGACGCTCTCGAAGGGGAAATCGTAAAACCGCGTAATATGCGGAATAGCGTTATAGGCGATACCCGCCTATTAAAAGCGTTTTAAATGTGATAATATGTAGATAGAATAAATTAGAAAAATGTTCATAGTGTGACTTGTTATGTATTACACAGTAACATAAGTTGTATTAAAAATTAATAAAAAAAAACATCAAATATACATACAATAAAATTATTATTTTTTTGGATTAAAAAAGGCAGTAAGTGCCTGTCTCAATGTAGATATTGATTGTACAGTACTAGCGATTGACGGATATTCCTCATCATCATTTGGCTCATCTGGTTCATCGTTTACTGTAGCCTGATTGATAATTTCTTCAAGCTCTAGGGTCTCGTTCGTTATCAATTGGTCGTCAATGGATGTGTAGCCTGGATAAACCTCCTCAAAGTCCCGAAATTCGTCTGAGTCCAAAACGTAAGGGTCTTCTTGTGAGACGTTACCAAAATAGGCTTTGTTGAAACAGTTTTTAATAACTTCTGGTTTTATCTCATGCCACGCGATTGAAACATAATGAATAGCATCTAATACATTGATTTTGGGGATTTCTTCATCGGTCACAGATTCCATTTCTAGTAAATACCGTTGAACTAATTTCTTTGGTATTTCTGTTTTAAAACTTTGATCACATCTTGATCAAGAGGCTGAACCTTGCTCGTAGCATTTGGCGGGAAAAACACAAGTTTGATATTTGTAAGGGTTATTTCTTTCGGATGAGCAGGGCAATTATCGACAAATAAAAGGACTTTTCTTTTCTGTTTAACGAACTCGCAGTTGAGCTGTTGAACCCATTCAATGAATAAACTACCAGTCATCCACGCACGGTTTTGAGCTTTATAATCACACAGTAAAGTGTGTACATTTTTAAAACATCGGGGGGATTTCAATTTACCTATTACCAAAAGTTTTAGCTTGTCAGTTCCAGACCAATTTGAGCAAGTTAAAACAGTTAACCGGTCCTTACTTAACTTACCACCATGACATGTTTCGTCTTTCATCACAAGTGACTTACTGACTTATCTGGCATCAATTTAAGAACAAGCCAAACTCATCAGCATTGTATATATCCTCGGGTGAATAATCTTTCAACAAATTTGGTTGAATTGTCTCTTTCCACGATTTAATACTGTTGTCATCTACAGCATCGACTTCCCCACAAATTTTACGATACACAATACCTTGCCTTTTTCTAAAACGATCAAGCCAACCATTAGATCCGCCAAAGTCCGTTACGTTCAACCTTTTTGCGATCTCATTTGCTTTTTCTGTCAAAACGGGACCATATACAGCCAAATTTAATGTGCGAGCTTGTCGAAACCACTCCAACAAAATATTTTCCAACTGCTCATTTTTACCATTTCTAACCTTTTGACGTTTCGTACTGCCTGAAAAGCGGTTTTTTTCAATTTCTTTCCTGTTCTTTAATATGGTCCGCAACGAAGAGGAGAGCAATCCTAATTGGTCGGCAATTTGTTGTTCATTGAATACACCAATTTTTTCATCATACAGTTTAATAATGCTCAATTTATCGTCAATAGACAAAGCTTTCCTTTTCACTCCGGCACTACTAGATGACGTAGACAAACTCGTCATTTTAAACCACACACGAATAACAATAAACATACAAATTATAAATCTACGTGTGATGTAACGTGTACACTTCAACGTCCGATCATATAACTAACGTACGTACATACTAACGATATATAGGAAGAGTATAAACCACATCAAGATGTTAATAATAAATATCAATTACTCTGTCGATAATAGATAAACGTTTCAACGAAATTCTTATCGCTGAATGTATTAATCGGGTTTTTTCTATTTTAAAAGGTTTGAGAAGCCAGAAATTAGAGCGTATTATGCGGGATTACGTGTTATGCGGTGGTGTATTAAGAGTGTTTTTTTCAATGCTAAAAGTGTACAAGTACCTGGGACCGGGAAAAATCCGCGTGTTAAGTGGGATGGCGTATTAAACGGGAGCGTCTTAACGAGGTTTTACTGTAATTTGAATTCACTATTGTGTCTACTTGAGATCAGTCAGTCCACTTACTACTCACACATTTACAAGACCCACACGCATGCAATTTGAAAATTGCCTATTTTGAACTCTTTTAAAACTTCCCACCACCTATCCCTTTAAATATACAGTATTATAAATTATAAACCTTCTGGAACACTTCCTTGCCAGGCTGTCTTAAAATCAGATAAATTAAATTTGTCACATGGACGTAAAAGTCCGACAGCCATAAATCTACACACTTTGTCTTCAATTAATGATCTATGTGTTTGACCTATAAAAATACAATATATTTAATTAATATACTAATGAATATATCAATTATTTCTAGCAACCAAGAACGTATTTTCAAATTTAGAACAACATTTTTTAAATATCAGAAAAAATAAACTGATTAATTCAAAATAAAAATATAAAATAATTTGAATACCATAAAAAATTAAAATGGACAATTTTTTTTATACTATCCATTATTTATTTAAAAATTGATCCATTACATTGTATTAAAAGTTATAATTTCTGAATATGCATGTACTTGTTCATTTATTGAATTGTATCTTATTTAGGGCCATTCTTACAATGTCCAGTAAAGTGTCAGTTACGCTAATTGACTGATAACAGATTTTATGACTGGCAGAATTTGGTCGGTGAGTTTCGGTAAATTTTAACCGGACATTGTAAGAACGGCCTTTAGTTATTTAATGATATTTAAAATAGAACGCTTTAAATTTATAAAAAAAATTATAGCTAAAAATTTTTTTATAACTTTTTAAAACAAAACTTTCTATAATTAATAAACTTACTTAAATTTGATGATACACACCAAGTACTATATTGATCAATAATATGTTGCAGTATTACCGGAGGCAATAGTTCACCAAGAATATTGAGGGTTTCATCCATAGGTATAGTATTATAAGGCCATGACTGTTCATCAATCAAATTTAATAAAAATGATAAAGCTCTACATTCATATTCAAAATCTAGTACTCTCCAATTACCTGCGATAAATAAAGATTAAAATGAATGATTCAAAGTTCAACATAGATTTTTTATCATTGTTGAATTTTTATATTTATTTAAATTACCATCAATTTGGAATGCGCCCATTTCTTTAAGAGCATCTTTTAGTTCATTATCACTGGCTTGTACTTTGGCTGATAAATGCTCAAATGTATACATTTCACTGGTTTCCAATACTTCTTTTTCAAGTTCTGATCCTTTATAACTACAATTTTTTAGTAAATATCTCAATTTTGTAAGACGTGGTTTACAAGGTTTCACTTCTAAGTATGTATGGAATATACCAACTACCTGCAGTAATTAATTTATAAATAATTATCATAATATTGCCAGTTTTATAAATTAAATTACTTTTCTGCTAGTAAGTTCCATGTTGTTGAACTCTTCATCTGGAAATGTTAATTCAGGAAGTAATAAAATTGAATTTGATGTTTCAGCTTCTTTAACATCATATGTCTTAGACTTAGTACACAATACTGCAGATTCTTTATGATCTCCTTTAAATACCACACTATAATAGTAAAAAAATAAATAAAATGAAAACGAAGTATCTATAGAATAGTCCCAAATAAAGCTGTTAAACAATCAATAACATTTCAAAGGGACATTAAGGTTTGACTTAATAAATTATAGTTTTACATAAATACATAATAACAAAATATGCAAGTATAAAGAACAATTAAGATAACAATGTACATAGGCGCTAAATAGGGGGGGAGGTTGGAGGCTTAGCCCCCAAAAACGAATGATTTCACTACTACAATTTAAAAGCATCATAATAGTACCAAGTATAGACCTGAGGTATATGCAGACCCTACCAAATTTAAAATACTATTTACGCTTATGAATATTAAACTAAAATAAAACTCAATAAGCAGATTATTTGTAAAAATGATAGTATAAAGAATTTTATGAGGTTTAGATTCAAATTAATCCATTACAAATTTAAAAAGCAGGTAAGTGGATGTCGCTCTGGTTACAAGTGGGTCAATGTTTAATGGATTATATTAAACTTGAATTCAATGATATAATTCATTGTATAAGAAAGGTTAGGTTAGGTTAGGTTAGGTCCAGAGAGGAGACTGTTTATCAGTCTCGATTTTTTAAATTTTTATTATTAATTATTATAGCCTTTAAGTTGAATTAATATTATAATATTATTATTTTTTTATTCATATCTATGATGATAAACAAAGCGTTAGAAAATTTTGTAATTTGTCGATGGTTTTTCCTGTGGCATAAAAAAACTATTAAAAAAATCAAAAAATGATCATCTTGATCCAATTTGCTAAAAGATAAGATACTATATGTTGAAATCGAAGCACTCCTTCTGGTAGAAATTTTGTATACAGGTTTAAATTTAAATTTTTTTTTTTTTTTTTTTAATTAGTTTTATTACACAATCTGTAAATATATTATTTTTTACAATAAGTGTAGGTGTTGTAGATTAATAAAATAAAAATAAAAAATAAAAATACAAATAAAGAGAAAAAGACAGATAATTTGAGCGAAGAAACCATCCAGTGATGGTACTTCTTGGAGTTGTGGATAGGTTTTATTCAGTCAGGAGGTCCCGACACCATTTTCGTTTTAAACGTCTTCCAGGGTCACCTGGAATGCTGAGGGTAGATAAGTTTGAGATTAGAGGATTGCGGTGGTTGGAGAGATTTGAGTGGAATCGTTTATACAGAGTTTTGGCTACGAGTTGAACGGTTGGAATAGAGAGGTCCTTATGGAGTGTATCGTTTGAGACGTAGAAAGGGGCTTTGGTAATTTGTCGAAGGCATTTAGATTGAAATATTTGAATTTTTTTTATATTAGATGGTTTGGCTGAACCCCAAAGTTGTATACCATATGACCATACGGGCTTTAGTAGTAATTTATATATAAGTATTTTGTTGTTCAGATTGATGTGTTTAGATGTAAGGAGAAGACGTAGCTGACGGGATCGGTTATGCAAAGCAATACTTTGTATGGGTGCGGGCCCAGTCATCGCGATCCAGGTGAGTCCGAGATACGGAATTTTTGTGGGGGAATGGGTATATTGAGAGTTATGGTGGGCAGTTTTAGTCTTGAAATGTGCAGTGGGCTGATTTTGATTCTTTATATTTATTCCCCAATCTTTATACCAGGTTTGGAGAAGATGTAAGTGACTTGAATGTGGTTGAGGCATTTAGGTCTGAGTAGCCATATACTGTGTCTCAATCCCTGTTCGTATTGTTGTTTGTTGGTCGGAAAATTTAAATTTAAAAAAATAAATAAACAACAATGTAAAACTACTAGATCCCTCACTTCGTTCAGAATCTAAAATAAGTACCTAAATAGGTACCTTATCTATAATTTTATACAATACCTATCCAATTTTGGGTTACAATTAGTATTAGTACCTTTTTTTTTCTCCTGTTCAAAAACCGGGAATGGGTGGGAACTATTTACCTCAATACTGCCACCTGGTCCCGTAACATTAGTTATTAGTACCTATGTTTAATGATAATATTGAAATGGGTAGAAATTCTTCCTGATAATTTGAGTTATTTTATTTAACAGTAAAAATACAACTATCAGTTGTTCTAAAATTGTTTTAGCAACCATCATATGAACATACTACAACTACGTATTGATAATTATTATTAGCAATAATAGACACATAAACAAATAAGTAATGAATATTAATTTATATTAAATCATACGTTTGACCACATTTAAGATCTGCCAGTATGTGTTCATCCAGCTGCAAGAGTTTGTAGTTTTCAAACTTCTCTCCAAAATAAATAGGTTGTACATTTGGTTTAAGATCATTTTCTGAAAGTTTTGCGTGCTCTATAACTTTTTTTACATCTTCAGCAGTCCTTACATAGTTACTGACAAAAGGTATACATAATTTATAAATCAGTTAAGTAAATGTCATTTATAGTACTTACCTAATTTCGTTTTGAGACATCTTTTAAAAGAATTTAATTTAATTAAAATGTGATGAAAATATAATACATACACAGACAGTCTGTATTATGCATGTAATAAGGATTACAATAATTATAATGAATTAATGAGTTGGTCTAAAAAAATGACATTATGACGAGTCGAGTGTCGACAGAATACACGAATTAAGTTAGGTACTTATTTGTTACTACTTAATAATGTTAATACATATTATATTATTATCTTAATTCGTGAAAGAATATAGTTTATACTTTTAAGCTGTAGCCTGTAATGCAGATCGTATTCCCGATTCCGTAATACATTCAATAGGCATACATGATTTCAAAATAATATTATGTTTTAATGATAAATTAATACATATGAGAACAATGTGATAATGTCTAGAGATCACAAAATAGCGGGAAATTAAATCACATTGCTATCAACAACAGCTATCACGATAGAATTCATCTATTCTGTGATATCACGAACTAAGTGGAGTTCGTGGAGCATGTATATTTATCTTTACTTCCGAGCATCGACATCACGATTAAAGATAACAACACGACTGAAAGGGAATAGAATGACTACCATAATACAGTGGCGCTCCAAGCGGCAGTAAAATTACGATATAATAATGTGTAAAAAGTTCAAGTCGAACATGGGTTAGTGTTGACATTAAGCGCCACTAGTTAATTATTAACAAAAGCACTTGTAATATTGGAAGCTCTGACTAAGGGCGATGTGCAACTGAATTTTCGGATCGAGATAGTTAGTTTTTCTCGAGCTTCCGAGTTTTGAACACGATTAATCGTGGTTCTGACCGTCCAACGCCGCTTGCGTCAGGCATAGACATTGATGATACCACAGAATAAAATAATAGATGAATTCTCATATTCTTGAAATTCTCTCGGGCGGTCAACGTTAGGAGTCCATAGTATAAGCCCAGAAATGATGAAATTCTGTGATCATGGTTATTAGATATGAAAGTATGAACATTAAACTTGATCTGTGATTGATTATTGAACGAACTACGGACTACGAAGTCCAGTGTCAGTCATTACCATCATAGAATAAGAATAATTTATTACTTAATTAACACATTCTGACTTCAGATGGTGTATTCGAGTCATTATGATGTTATTATCAACTGACATGATAAGCCAACAACAATTATTGCCTTACAAATTACAATCACGGACTACAATCAAATCCGTGCCCCGTGGTTACAATTTGCAAATGTTACAAAAGCTTTTTTTTATAATTAACTACTCATCTCGACTATAGGTGACTCTTGAGACACCAAGTATTATGTAAATAATAATTAACAGTAATATTGTTGTTTTTTTTCTAAGCTTTTTTAAATAGATCTATTTTCACTTTTGATTATTTTGTCCTATTGTTTTGTTGATACAATAGATATAACAATATTACCAATTTACAACTTTATCGATAATTGTAATAATATTTCCGCTCGCAATTTTGCATTACCTAATTATATTTGATGAAAACGAATCGGCAATAGGTTATTTGTTATTACCTAAGGGATTGTGTGAAACGATGAGAAAATATCAACAGTTGCTGTTGGTGCTCGTGTCTTTTTTCAGTGTCTTTTCGCTGTTGTTGTACAGGTATGAATACATGCAACTTTTGAACGTCTTAGAAGTGCTCAACTTTTTTGGTTACACAGCCGACAACATGACAAACTGTGTTCTGCTGGATGACAAGTTCTATGTGGATCTGGAAAACGACAATTTGTTAGCGAAACCACCTGTTTCATGGGTCAAACGCGATCAGTACTATGCATACTCTGCCTTCTGGTCTGCCCAACAACAGTCTGTTCATTTGCTGATTTTGGGCCCAAGATCAGCTTTCTCTGGTTACGAATGCCGTGTGTGGTTTAAAATGGCAGATCAGTTTGTTTCCAAACCGGCAAAACTTTCTTATAGCATTAGAACTAATAATCATGATCCAAATTTTCATCAATATGAGGTTCATTGCAAGCCTGATGACTTTCCTGTCAATACTGAACCATATGGAGTTTTGCTGGGACGAACAAATTTGTTAAAACTGTTCATACCGATCGAAGTTCAGAAAGAATCTCCCATCAAAGATGATCTGATTATGTGTATTTCACCAGATTATTCTGGCATTCCTGATACACATCTTGTAGAATTTATTGCATTTCACACATTGTTAGGTGTTCGTCATTTTGTAGCATACGATATTGGCATTCACTACAAAGTTCTTCAATTTTTACGTTCAATTGCTGGCCACAGAGACTTATACAAAACATTTTCTACACTCTCTTGGCAGTTCCCTACGACAGATCTACAATTAGAAAGATCAATTTTACAAAAAGATTGTATGCAAAGAACTCAGGGTCTTGCTAAACATAGTATTTTATTATCATGGGATCAGTACTTAGCGTTAAACAAGGATGAACTTAATTCTTTAAAGAATGACATTAACTATACATTTCAAATAAAGAAATGTTGTAATAATCGGCAGCTAAAAAAATCCTGGCCCATGGCTATGAAGAAAACAATATGTGAAAAGACTAACGAGACAATAAATACTATCATTGATGATCAAACAATGAATTACCAACCGCCTACAAAAATGGGATCAATACATAGGTTGGAAGAAATATGTGAAAAAATCAGTGGTAAAGATGACAAAAGTATGGCTAAGTATTTAATAAATTTTGTAAATAGTAAACTGTTGAGATTATGGAAATCTCAATTAAAATATTCCATTACTCATTCAACCAATAACAATATGATTAATCTGTATAAAAATTATTCTTGAATTTATTTTCGAGTGTAACATTTGAAAAGGAATTATATGCATATATTTTTTTAAAGGATATTTTATACAAAATCAAATAAATATTACTATTTTTAAATAATTAAAGTAATGTGCTGTCTTATTATTAAATTTCAGCTTCCAAAAAACATTATAAAATAATGTAAATATATAAATTAGTAAAACAAAAAAAAAAATCAAGTAAAACTAAAATACTTCAACCAATGCGTTGGAAAATTACAGTGTTCAACAATCCAGCTTCTGACAATGTTTGATCATTATTGTCTAATGTTTTTGGAGGGTAAGATGACTGCAATTTAAATGGTGTAGAAGCAAAGCTAGATCTTGCACTGATATAAAATGTAGTTAAGAAAAATATTCAATAAATCAAGGTTAATTAATTCTAATAAAATATTATAGACTAAATTTAAAATTATTTAATATTTCCACAACACATAATATCTACAAAAATAATATGATTAGATAATAACAAGTACTATTGAAAATCAACAACAAAAACTAGAGATGGATTAAACTAAAATTGTATTTAAACTTTCAGACTTATGGAAAATGTAATAGAAATAAAATAAAATAGGGTATAAATGTACTTTACTGGACTTTTTTTCAAAATACGTGGTTATTTATGCTAAATTCAAAACTGTTTGAAAAAATTCCCGCAAACTTACCGTTCAAAAGTTATGGCAATTTAAAGCTCAACAAATCGGGGGATATTTTCGATTCACGGAGCGGAGTGTCGGCGCTGATACAAGCTTAATCACTGCAACTTTGAACTTCCATAACTTTTTGAACGGTAAGTTTTCGTAATATTAAGGGAGACCGAGGTTCACCTGAGGTGGTTTTACACAACAAATAGGTTGATATTTTTTGATTGGCAGAGCAGAGCGATGGCACCGAGGAGCGTAGCGACAAGTGCCGATACACGTGTAATCACTGCAACTTTGAACTTCCATAACTTTTTAACGGTAAGTTTCTGGGAACTTTTTCAAACCAGCATAAAAAAACACGTATTTTGAAAAAAAAAAAATTGTAAAGAAAAGGGTGCCCGGTAAAGTAGATTTGTTCCATAGGTGTAATAGAAGTATAATGAGTACATTTTTCAATAAAATAAAATAATTAGTTAATTTATTATTTTGAAATTGTTGTGGAATTTTACTTATAGGTAGTTGTTTAAAAATTTGAAACTTAAAGTAAATTTTAAACATTTTGAGGATTCGAGAACCCATCCCTAAAAATAACACACTGTAAATCTACATAACAAGAATCTGATTACTACATCAGGACTAGGTTATACGTGTGCAATATTTTGATTTATTAATGGTTAATACCTTTCAAATAATTTTAATTAAAAAGGATACGCTATGATGTAACGGCGAACATCTCCAATAGTATGACTATGGTTAAATGTGGCTACAATTCTTGTACCATCGACTAATCTGATTTGTAATGGAGTGGTAGGAGCGTCTGGTGTTAAAGGGACTACAGCTCGAGCAATAGCTTCATTGGCAACACCACTGTCTGAAGTAACTTCTTTTGGGACTTCAATACCAACAACATCTGGTGCAGGGCTACAAACTCATATTTGTAAAGATGTGTATTTAATTTAATATAGTTTTTAAAATTACCTTCCCAACAAATTTCCAGATCCTCCAAAAATTTTTTTCTTTGGTTTAGATGGTACATATTCTTCATATCTATGATCTTCAACACTAACATGAAGTTCATCTTCACTAGATACATTTGCCTCTTTCAAAAGTAATGGTGGAATCTCCTCTCTAAAATAGAGGAGCATAACAATTAATAATGAATTTATTTATTCAAAAACGTGTGAGGTATGAAGATAAACATTGATAGTTATAGATTATATTAACTATGATCAAAAATTACCTCAACACCTTAATTTTCAAATTAGGTAGTCAATATATATTAACTAAAAATGTAAGTATTAACAGAAACTAAAATATTAAAATGTCAATATAATAGACAATAGACACTAAATTGTCTGGGTTAAATATTTTAAAATTAAATTACTAACCCTCTAGCTACTAGAAGTAGAAATTCTCTATTCTCTGGACGATCAATGCTATGCAATTCACCATCATTGATAGTGAATCCTTCTTTCCATACCTTTAAGACAACTTCTTCTTGATTAGATGAACGTTTTGTAGTAGCATTAGGAGATGGAATGACTAAAATCAAAATACTTAAATTAAAACAATAATTTATAAGTGGTACAACATTGTGCTCAACAGACCTTCAGTGTCATTTTCAGTTTGGCCTAATTTATAACCTGTACCAAAGAAATTTGATGCACCACTGTCATGAGTAGAGCTACTACTGCCACTAGGTGCCGAAGTACTAGCATACCTAAACAGATAAAGTATTTATATAGTTAATCTCTATATGCACTAAAATCTCAAACTCAAGAACAATTGTTTTACTTCTGTGCCGTTTGAAACATATCAGTGATAACATCAGCATTGTTGCGTGGAGGCCCAATTACTTGTTGACCACTTGTGATTGATCCCCCAGCATAGAACCTCTGACCTTCTTCATCATCACTGTCTTTATCTTCAGATTCAGCATTTTTCAAACTACTGAAAGTCATTATTCTAAAACCAAATAAAGACCATTTATTGTAAGAATAGTAGTTTACCAAGAGTATTTCAAATTAAGTAATGGATATTATGTCTACCAATAGATTCAGAAGAATGAAGTTTATTTACCTAGATTGTGGTTGCCATTTTTTCGGTTTCGCTACTGGTTTATAACTCGATATGCTCGCCATCGGCACATCCCTATTCGAAGCAGCTGCAGGCCTCGATGAGGACTGTCCAGCATTACTGCTCGGAGGTTCGTCGTCAGTACCTTCGTCATAGAAGCTGGCCAATGCAGCCTAAAAAAAACAATATTATAAACACCAACACGAAACACAACTATTGTTATTTTCTCATTACATCCATACTCCAGGCGGCCGATTCTAAATAAAATTTTGCTCTTTCCGAATCTACATTAGTTATGCCAGCAAATTCGTTGACCTTGTTGCTTTGCTCTGACTCGCTCATTGTGTTATTAGACTTGGGCAGTTACAAAAATATACTATAAAGGAAATCGTGCGTTGCAACAACTGAAATATAATTTTAATATTTACATGTATGTATAATAATATATTAATATTAACAAAAGTCAATAATCCAAACGTAGTTTGATTATCACATACCCACAAAAAGCGCTTGTAATCAATTTTTTTTTTGTTTTTCAATTTGAAACCTTGATGTAACCTAAAATATTCGATCAGTGTAGCCAGGAAAATAGAACCACTATATTTTGTTCCACATTTTTTTTCCCAAATCAACTCATTCTAATAAGATTATTTTCCAAATTGTATCATTGTTCCTATTATGGCTGAAATGCCGCTGAATATAAATTATAAATATAAATATTATATTTAGCCATGGTTCCTATATTTTATATTCGTTATTTTGTTCCAATACAATATGTTAATTATTGTCGAAATAAATTTGTTCCAATGGTGAATGGATATTTTTCCCATAAAATAATTTATCCGATTATAACTTTTCACATATAATACCTTTGTTCCAATGATTAATGAACGTTTGTTCCATAATTATTTTGTTCCTCGGGATTTATTTTACAAAACATTTGAATTTGGAACAAATGTTCATTCGCACATAATGCGATTTGCGTATTTGTACTATTATGTTATACCTATTATATTGTATTTAGATCTTATGATCCGTTGAAATTTAAAAATAAAATAAAATAATGGTCTTGGAGTAAACATAAAATAAATGAGCTGAAAAACATTTGAACTAAATTTTTTATATGTGCATAACCCTTAGACTTTCAACTTTTAACTTATAAGGTATTAAGGTTTAGCCGTAAGCCCGTAACTGTTAAACGTATTAAGATGGTATATTATTGTTATGGCTAATCTCAAAGGGGGCTCGCTCAATGCTCATCTTAAGCGGAAATTTTGTGATGTTAATTGGGGGGGGGGGGCTATCATATATTATGGGTCTGCTTAGATATAATATATACCCATATAGATAATCACTAGGTTAGTCTGTTGTCTATACCAACAGATTATTACTTTTCAACAAAATTGTTTTATTCCGAAGCGCGAGGCCTACTCAGTACCCAAGGTGGTTTTCACAAAAAATCAAGGGTTTTTTTCGATTTTTTTTGTCCGAGCGCAGCGCAGCGAGCGAGTAACAACGCAGGCATAACTTTTTTCTCAATAGTTCAGCCGATGAAAAAAGTATGTAGCATAATGAATATTTATGGGTTATATAGTAAATAGTAATATAAACTGAAAACTTCAATATTACCTAACTGTAACTTAGAAACTAAGTTTGTGCGTTAAATTCGGTTTTCACCAAAATTTTTTTCACCCTAAAAAAAACTATGTCCGATGTCCCCAAGTCCCAACCTGTTAAAATACGTAAAAAAAAAAATTTTAATTTGTTGCAGGTGCTGCGTGTGACAGTCAACTGTCAAGTAGCTTTGCTCGTAAACGCATAACGTAAAATCGCAAATTTTGGAAGGTCTATAATTTCTAAAATAATAGTTTCCTGTAAAAACAATTTACACTGTCGTTGTAAGTAAAAACTAAAAACAACAAGTTGATAAAAACAAAAATTGAAAATCGTGAGGGTGTTGTTACAAAGTGCATTTGTTCCCTACTTTAGTTCATGATTTTAAATTCTAATTTAGATAACCAAAACATTTACAACTATAGGTACTCTATTTGCCGAGAGTTGACTCACTCGCTCGACGAAAACTATATGGTTATGATAACTCTGCAGGGAATGCCATGGCATACCCGCGGCATCCCCCCCATGCACGCCCATGATGGTGTCCTCTTAAGAGTATAAATTATGAACTCTTATAAAACCTTCAAACATAATAGTAAGTACAGTATTACATTTGAATATTTGATAAATAGTTAGTTTAACTTTTTTTTTTCATGTTTTTAAGAAAATTCATATGGGCATTTGAAATGAAGAGGGGTAAGAGTCACACTAAAATGTCATTACTGATTAATGATTTTTTTTTTAGTTGTCCTCTTTCATATTATAATATATGCTAACTAAAAGGTTGGATAAATAAATAATTATAAAATAAATAGTCGCATGGAGGGAGGGGGGATATAACATAATATGATCAGCCCTCTCACAGCAACCCACCTATTTACGACGTAGGTTTAGAAATATCAAATGTGGCATGGCCGCATGGGTAATACGTTTTCTCTGCCTGAAATTTTCTCCCAGGACCTAGGCCGTCGTTCTCTGGCCTCTGCTTTGCAGTAGGTTACAATAGTGGGTCAATGTACTTTAATATCATTGAAAAAGAAAAACGATTTTGAGCATCGACGTTTGTCGGTATGGATATTTTATATTGTTATTATAGTCTATAAGTGGAATTAATATTATAATATTATTATTATATTCTGAGCTGAGCGAGGAAGCTGGTGGTTTTACAATGGTGTTTAATTCACTGTTTATTATTTTTATTTTTATTTTTTATCTTGTATACAAATTTCTACCAGAAAGAGTGTTTCGATTTCAACATATAATATCTTATCTTTTAGCAAATTGGACCAAGATGGTACTTTAGTGAGGTCATTTTTCGATTTTCTCAATTTTTATTTAATGCCAAGAGAAAAACCACCAACAAATTACAAAAACCGCTAAAAATAGGATTTTAATTTTTAATGATTTGCTTATTACTCTATGTGATAAGCATAGAAATATGGTGATAAAGGCTTGTCCGAAAAATGATAAGAGTGGTTACGGTGGTTACCCATTAACCAACTTGAGGGGGTGACTGGTGTATCAATGTTTTGTTTCATAGCAAGTCCTGGGATAATGGGATATCAGATCAACAGATCAATGCTAAAGCTATTAAGTGTTGACTATTGACATTTGACTATTAAACAATTTAACATTACCTATTAATTTATATACTATACCTAAATATATTCAATTTTACTTTAGTGTTTAATTACTATAGTTATTTCATTATTATTTATTTGTGACTTATCTCCATCTTTTTAACCAGACAGATAACTTCCTGTAGGAGAGACACTATTATATATTACATTTTTAAATATCTACTTTTGTCATCAGATATGGCTGACGCTTTTGACAAACTTCGTATGATGGAAGACGAAATGAACAAGTAATTGCGAAAATTTTACAATGTTGTAAAAATGGTTTTTTTTTTAATGGTTTAATGTTTGTTTTAGATTTGAAGAAGAAATTGGGATACCCAACTATATGGATGGAACACCTGGTGCTCAAACATACGGTAATTCTGGTAATTATAGATTGATATAATACATAAAAGTCTTACCTCAAAGTTTATATTAGATATAATATTTTTGAAAAAATTACTTTTAAAATATATTATTAAGTTATAGAAAATACCTATTCCGATTTCCGATTAATACCTATTGACAAATTCTGGAACTGTCTGTGAGTTGTGACGTAATAATGAAGAGAAATCAAGTCTTGTAAGTTTTGTATTCAACTAAAGACAAAGGTGCTAGTCATCAAACCGTATTATAATTGAAATATTTATCTATATGAATCACTTAATTACTTAATCCTATATCATACATAAACATTGTTTTCAAATGATTATCTTTTTTTTTTAAAATAATGATGATTGAAATGAAAAAAAGGTGCTCTGCTGTACAGTAGGTTACAAGTGGGTCACTGTATAATGGATGTTATTAAATTTGAATTCAATGATATAATATCATTGTATAAGAAAAACGATTATGAGTGGAGACGGTATGTCAGTCTAGGTATAAGACATATTATATACTTATCTATGGTATTAAAAAAAAAATTGTACCTATAATAAATTCCAAATTAATTATATCACAATAGCCATTAGGTACTTATAACTTGTTATACATCAACAACAAACCGTGATACTATAATAGATACATAATAGTATAGGTACTTTAGAAGTTTCAATTACTCAGGAATAATATTATACAATCATAACAAAATAACTTAAATAGTTATTCTAGGTTTTTAATTTATGATTTCGTCCAAATTTGAACTTAAAATGACTTTAAAAATAAACTGTGCTTATGTATTTTTTAGATTTTTTAGATTTTTTTACACTTTTTGGCCCAACCGATAAAACTTTATTGATATTCATAGAAAAAAAAAAAATAAATTGAAATATGAAATTGTCCGTAAAAAGCTCAAAACAAATCAAAATATTTTGAAAATTTTATCAACTATAAGAATTGATATAAATAAACATTCAGTAAAATTTTCATGTATCTACAGTTATTTCTTTTTTAATTACAACAAAATAAGAAAATCGTTACATGAGAAATCGAATGAATATCAAATGCTGTAAAATTTGAATTTCAAACACTCATAAAAATTTAATTTGACTTTCTTCTAGAAATTTTTTTTTTTGATAAGGGTTAGTAGATAATAATATTAGATAATAAGTTTGTCTAACTTATGCAGAGTCTTGTATTACATTTTAAAATCTTAGATTTAAAAAGAGAATTTTTTATGAATTTCTAACTCAAAGTAATTTGCAAATTGTTGTAATTTTTGCGTAATTTTGTCAATATTTGAACTTTAAATGCTTATAAATAAAATTGTGACTTTGGATTTTTAATTTTTTTCATCTTCCTTTGAAACAATATACTATGAGCCTTCTATATTTTTAAGCTTTTTTAACCAACAAATAAAATTGTATTGATATTTATAGAAACAAAAACTAAAAAAAATAGAAACTGAAAATGTTTGTAAACAGCTCAAAATATTTGGAAAATGTTATGGTGTATAGAAAATGTTAATATAAGCATTCAGTCAAAATTTTTGAAAACAGGTTTTGTGTAAAAATTCCCGTTTTTCTTTAATTTTTCTTTTGTTTTTCATGGCGCTATTGAAAACTACTAGGAAATTTTTACTTTCGACCATTCAAAGTACCAACTAGATTCACTTTCCTATCAGAAAAGATACTGTTGAAGAAAATCTAAGCATTTTTACTGTCCTAAAACGTGATGACAGACACAAAATTAAAAAAAAAAACACACATCATTGTAAAATCAATACATTCATCATTTCACTCAGAATCTAAAATTTATCATTTAAATAATTTGAAGTCAATACCTATATTTTTCTTAAAATATATAGCAGTTTTCAGTTATTAATAACGTAAATACTACAGTGTCATAGGTTAACAGTTTAACGGTTGTAAATATTTATCAAAATGATGATTCATGTTATACATTCTTAACTAGGGCCTGGAATCTGATACATTTGCATTGTTTTTTTCTTTTAATTTAATAAAATACATGGTAATTTGATTACTTGTATAATTGTATGAATATTAGAATGGTATTTTTTTTATATTTTGGTGATTTTATACATTATCCAATATATCTCTTAATGTTAAAGGCTAAGATAAATATACTATAGCTGTTTCTTATTGTTGTATTATAAAAGTTGGTTGCTTTGTGGTGTACAAAAGTTATATAAATACCTATCATTTTTTTTTAGTATTGTTAAAGAGTATAAGACTATTTTCAGTATTATATTATCAATAGTTTCATTGTCAAATATTCTAACCTCAGAACTTTTTAAATTCATAAAATAAGATACTCTATGTTATTCTTCTTACGGTCTAACGTATTAACAGATTTTAAATTATTAATTACTAAACGGACTTGGTTAACTCGTAGTCGGGAACGGCAAATAGTCTGAGTTATTCAAGTATAATAGAATAATAAAAAGTTCTAGGAACCAGAAAAAAGTTCAAGGTATCAGAGATTTTGAGTTAACCAAGTTTGACTATATTATTACAATTTGACTTAGTTCTAATTAAAATAATAAAGAATAATAAAACAAAAAAAAATCTGAGGAAGTTATTCTGCTGTATAGTATTCTTTGTCATTGGGTACTTTATAGTTTATACTAGTTAACTATTTGTATAACTTAGTTAAAATAAAATTGCGTAACACTTGTATGCATTACAAATTGGTGTCACCATATTTTACCACATTATCTCATAAAGTCATAAAGACTACAGTCATAATTATTGCCAGGCATATGAGTAATTTATTTATGAAATAGTATCAGACTTTGATCGGTCCCTGCCATCAACACCAGTAGATAAAACATGGGCCATGAGCACAGGGAGTGGACTGGCCGGGAGTGCTTTAAAACAGATAGCATCCCGGGCCCCCATGTGTATTTATAATACAGGCCCCGACTACCATTTTCGGTCCCTTTCTTAAATTTATCACTTATTGTAATGTATAACTCTTCCTAATTTTAATAAGTTTAAAAAAAAATGTATGATCCTAATTAATTTTGCACCCTGGACCAAAATTAGCCAATCCGCCCTTGAATGAATAAAAATGTCACAATCTACTTTATTTTAGCATTTCGCTTTGAGAGCATTTAGTTTTATTTATTTGAAAAATGTTTGTTGTTTATTCTTATGTTACTAAGTAATTTTTATATTATTAGGTATTCAGGTAATTTTTCTACATTTCTGACTTGTAGCCATATTCCCAGTTATTTAAAGCATCTTTTTTAAATACTTTCAAAGTCATCTAGTTCTTTGCCCTAGTCATAGAAATTCAAAATAATAAAATGAATAATGATTGTCCTAATTTGTTTAATATTATTTATTCTTTATTAGTAATTAACTTATTTAAGTACTATTATATTATATTATACATTTTGTTTAGATAATTATTCAATTATGGGACAACAAAATACAATTGCTTCTCAAGGATATAATAATATGCGACCATCGTTCTCTAACAACCAAGTGCTACTACAGCAACCTCAACGGAGATTTAATGTCAAAGTAGACAAAACAATTGGTCCTGTTATTCTCAGGTATATATTGATTGGTTTTTTTCAGTTTCCAGTAAACTTTAATTAACGGTTCTATTGTTCTAACTTCTAATATAAATGTCATGCAAGTATACCACTAAAAAAAAAAGGTAATAGTAATATCTTTTATAAATACTTAATTGTATACTTAATATTTTTTTAAATTTACTTTATAATATAATATTTGAAATGTATTATTACCTAATGTTTATAAAGTACTAGTTGTTGACAATATACACATTTTTTATTTATTCCTTGACTTAATTAAATTTTATTATAGCCATATAGGCTGTAAAATAAAAAAAATTGTTTGCCATTTTATCAATTTAAGATTAAATAGTTTCATTAAAAATGTATTATTTATAAGAAATAAAATTATGATAAATAGCAATATTGTGTGTTTGTAATAAAAGAAGAATAGCAATAGTAAAATGCCATTTAAATTTCTACCAACATGATGTACAAATTCATATATTTTTAAAATTAAACTGTATTTTAGTGGTGCTCCTAAACTGTATACATCTAAACCTGAACCACCTCAACTACCTTCAAGTGATTTGATGATTAAAGCAGAAGATATATTAAAAATGACAACAAGCATCAATCCGTTAAAAAAAGAATCTAAGAAGTCACAACCCACAATATTGCCTGGTAAAGAAATGGCAGAGGCTGTTAAAGCAACATCTAAAACAGTTGTTGTATCAGCTGGAGGTAATGCTGTTGCCGCAGCTGAATGTGCTGCATCAATCCCAAATCAATCTGCCAAGAGCAAAGGGAAAAAAAATAAGAAGTTTATACGAACTTCTGGAGGACAAGTATGGGAAGATCAAACGCTATCTGAATGGGACGAAGGTATGTCTTTTATTTAAGTATTGATAAACTGTAGCAATCAATTATATACATTTTCAAGTACAAATAAAAGTATATGTTTTTGATTTGGTATTGGTTCAACATAATTGATATATAATAGGTGATCCAAATTTAAATTTTGTTTTCAGACGATTTTCGATTATTTTGTGGGGATTTAGGCAATGACGTCACTGATGAATTATTAGCTCGAACGTTTAGTCGATATCCTTCATTCCAAAAAGCCCGTGTAGTACGTGATCGCCGCACTATGAAAACCCGAGGTTTTGGGTTTGTGTCGTTCAAAGACCCAGCAGACTTTATTAAGGCTACAAAAGAACTCAATGGTATTGATTTTTTTTTTCCTTTTTTACTTCTCAATATTTTTAAATACTTCTATTATACATTTTTCTTTTTATTAGGTCGATATGTGGGTAGTAGACCAATAAAACTACGGAAGAGTATGTGGAAAAATAGAAGTTTGGAGGTAACTAAAAAGAAGGAGAAAGAAAAGGCTGCACTCATTAATTTATTAACCGGTCAATCTTCATAACAATAATTTTTTAATCTTACCATAGGATTCAACTAAATAATATTTCTGTAAAATTGTAAGCAGATAATATACTTTTGTTTTACTTTTAGTACTTACCTTTTCAATAAAAATAAAAATGTATACAGCAATTGTAAGTGTCTTAATGTATATTAAAGAAATAAAATGTTTTCTATAGGTATTAAAAATAAATTTGTAGTTCAAATTAATAATGATTAGACCTAATCAATTAACAGTTAACTTAAATCACACCAAAAACACTTTGTTATAACTACGTGTAAAAAAAAGCTAAGTAAAAAAAAATTATTTAGTAATGATTAAATCTTTAAAAGACATGATATATGGAAACTAATTTAAATGCCGTTTTATAATATTACAAATAAATATGATGACAAATAAGATCAATATTGTAATGTTAAATACTTAGTCAACATATTGTTGATACATTATTAATTACTGTAAAATATACTGTAGTGGCTACTTAATTGTGTTTATTTAAGTATACTTCTTTATCTTGCCAAATAGTTAAACAATAAATTAGGACGGTTTTTCAATGTTACAACTCGAACTCCTGTTATGATACATTAGTGGCTACACCGCTATTTTTTTTTTACTTAGCTTCGCGCCACTACCTTCGAGTTGGATAGTTATAAACATTGTGTTATTCAACAAATTATTGTGCAAAAGAATAGATAGGAAGTAGGTATTACAGAAAAGATGAAGTACACAGTAAAAATATTGTCAAAACTAGTTTTATAGTGTTAAAACAACATATTATATATAATTAAAAAATAACAGTACACTTCATTTATTCAAATACACATAGTTTATATATTTTTTAGCATGTACATTTTAAGTTGGATTTTTTCAGTACATGTATATTTGTAAAGCCTATGATAATATGATGTATTCCAATTATGGACTATGTGAAATAGATGCGGACTGAGTATAAAAAAAATCCAGAATATTATTGAGTTTTGTACATCATTATTTTTTTTTTTATATATAAAACTGTACAACTTATTTCTTCAACAATAACTTTTAACGATTCTTATTTTAATATAGACGACTACAGTAAATATTTTGGTATGTAAGAGAATAGGCATCATTGTCAGTTAAAGATGATGAGAATAAAATAAATTAAGTAAAACTATTAAATATGTGTAGGCATAATATCATAACTACAACATTCATTCGTAGAAGGGGCAAGTTTTTTTCAAAATAAAGTAATAAATAAACTTAAAAAATTTAAACGTGCAACAAAAAAAGAAAAAATAATAATAAAACATTAATATACAAAGACTATCATAAGAAAAAATAATTTTAAAACGAAACATAAAATCACAGATTTCGATTAATTTGTCAATAATAATTAATAAATGATTTTCTTAAATTTTAATACACGATAGTAATGTTCTAACAAGTAACATCTTATTAGCTTTAAAAATATAAAATATACAGTCTAAATTGTATTTGTTAATACAATTGAATATTTTGATTATATACATAATATGTTAAATATAATATAATATTTATACAGGTATATCACTCTATTTAAAAAAAATATTTCGGTGGTTGATATTTGAAAATAACTTTAAAAAACAAAATTACATATCATACATTGTATTGCTAGAAAAAATTTCTTTTTCCAGACAGTTTTTCAAATTTTACAAAAACCAATGTTCTGCATTTTAAAAATAATTTTGTAATAAGTTAAAAAATTAATACAACAATTTTAAGTCTCAATATAATACGTAAAATGTCAAAAATGTAATTTCAAATATCATTAAAAGTTTTTTCATAAAATATCTATGATGTTAATTTGATATTAAACATAATAATAATATACATACATATATATATATTTACAATAATTATGCCGGGTTGCGTGAAAAATATATTAATTTAATGGTTCAATAAAATTGAATGGACACTCATGGGCCACTAAATCAGATTCATTAAATATTTAGTGATTGCTCATGCAACCTGGCATTAGACAGGTAATACTTAAACATTAGTAATCTAATAAATTAGATGGTAAATTCAATAGGCATTAGACATAACTAGACCTAAAAACAAATATCATGGGCTGAATTTTAAAATAAATATTTCTGTCACTTGATCATAAAAAAGTACGTACAGAGAATAAGTTATTCACATAAAAAAAAAATTTAAATCATTCGCAGTTGAAGTTCTTAAGAATTTCATTCTGTATTTGGTTTATGAAAAAAAGATATTGAATATTTAAAGTACTTCAAAAAAAATATTTAATCAATTCAATTGTTTCTTTAATTAAATACAAATTTGTTAAATTTATAAGTGATTTCTTAAAATTCTGATACTTGCCCAATTGATAAATCAAATATTTTGGTATTGAAAATTAGATCTAAACATTATTCATTAAACATAAAATAAAATAAATAACTAATTTGTTTGACTTTTAATTTAAGGAATAATTTTTTCAATGTACTGTAAATGTATTGAATAAAAAATAATTAAATTAAATAACTAATTCAGATTTTGGTTATTAATATTGACTTAATCAGCAGTTCTATTATACTTGAGGTAAAAATTTAGGAAATTTGAGGAAACAGAAAAAGGCTGGCCATTAAATTTAAAAGAATATATTCTCAAGAACTCCGTTTAACGGATTGTTAATTTTTTTTTAACAAAAATATTAACACACAAAATAATATTTATAAAATATGCCTCGATCAGAGGAACTATTACATTGCAATAATATATAATAACCTAACTTATTTAGGAAATATACAGCTTTTAAAATTACAGATAGTAGTTTCTCTTAAACAACACAATATTATTATTATTATTATTATTAAATTTTTTATAGGAACTTGTTTTGATGGCCAAGATGTGCATCATTACCTTGTGGTTGGATTTTCTTGTGCCAAATATTTGCTTATGATATTGTATCCTAAAACAAATTGTTTTTTGTTAAAAAAAAATCGACCATTTTAAGTTCAAAATGTTGTTGAACTACTTACATCTAGGAAATGAATGTTCAATGGAGTACATGTTTGGTGAGTCAGAAGCATTGGATATAGTTTTTCTTTCATCTGCAGAATTATCAGACCAATCCACTACGTTACTACTTGAAATACAATGAACCATTGGTTGTCTATTTTGCATATCAGATAAAGTTGACGATGGTGATAATGCAGCGTCCAAATCAGCTGTTATAGAACTTGAAGGCATTTCTGGTTTAGCTGAAGGACTTTGTCCACTCACCGGACTTAAAGTTGTTGTATCAGGTGGGCTACCAACATAAGCATTACGGTTTGTAGCAACAATTAGGGCTGGTGTAGATGAAATCTGTAACACTTGTTGTCCAGCAGCAGTTTGTGTAGACACAGAGTGTTTAGCAAATTTAGAATTTTTATCAGAATTTGTTGTAGTAATAATGAAATTCCCTGATGAATTGGTTTTTTCAAGAATGAAATTTCCACAAAGCTGTTTATCGCCAGAAGTTGGACTTGTAATTATAAAACTTTGGGTTTGCTTCTCAGAATTCATATTATTTAAAATAAAATGTGTGCCACCCGACTGTTGCTTATCTTTAGGACTCAGAATAAACCCTTGTTGTTTATTATCGGCAATAATATAATTTTGACCTTGTTTTTCATTTATAATTAAATTGCCTTGCTCGTTGCCTTGTTGTCCAGATACCATGGTCATCTGCTGTTGAACGATGGTTGTGTTTTGTTGAACTACAGTGGTATTTTCTTGATTTTGTTGAATAGAACATGGTACTACATGTATGTAATCATTTTGCTGCTGATTCCTATTCTGGTTTTGTGACTGATTAGGGCTCAAGCTAGCTAAAATAGGGCTCAATTGGCCAACACTATTTACGATAAATTGATTACTTTGCTGTGCTCTTTGTTGTGTTTGAGGGGTCCTTAATACCATACCAGTAGGTAATAAATTTTGACCAGTATTAGAAAATGGGGATATAACATTTAATTGTACTGCGTCTTGTAGAATGGAATTGTCGGCCATAACTACACCACCCAAATTTGCTGGTACAATGAATTGTTGGATAGATGGAAGATTATGAACAAGACTAACAGGTTGTATCACATTTGTTATCAGTTGTTGGTTACCATATTGGGTGGTTTTATTTGGTAGTATTAATGTTTGGACAACAGGCTGATTAAAGTTTTGCTGTTGAGGTTGTAACAATACACTAGAATTGTTCTGATGATTAGGAGATATTTGGGGTGATTTTCGTTTTTTAGAATTAGTAGTTTTACGTTTGGAATCTGGCGGAGATAGTAGATTTGAGCCTCTTGGTGAAAATGCTCCACTATTATCTATATTTCCTGTAGCAACAGCAAGTTGTGGTACCTGTACTTGATCAACAGTCATAACATTTCCTGGTTGAAGTAGTAAGGTACTTTGACCTCCCTGTAAAGTATTTACAAGGACAGTAGGTTGTTGTTGCACTGTTGAAAGAACTTGGGAAGTATTGGGTGATTGTATTTTAGTTGAAGCCATTATAAATTGTCCATTACTTGTCAATAATATATGGCTTGGTTGAATACTTGATTTTTCTGAAGACGTAGGAACTTGTATGCTACTTACAACACTTTGCACCATTTCTAAAGGTGTTTTGGATGTGACTGGTTGTTGTCGACTAGGTGGTAATACTTGGTCTTCAGATGTGTTCACCGTTACCACAGATGTATTAGCTCTACCAGCCAACACTGAAGTAATTGTATTTGAACTAGCTGTTCGACCACTAGCCATTGTTGTAACATTTGTTGTGTACCTAGGTTTTTCTTGTCTGTATGGTCTTGCAGGAGGAGATAATGGTGAAAATGAATTGGTACTTATTGTATTATTCAGTAAAGCTGTCTGTTGTGCTAAATAGCCACTTGGATCATCCAAAAATGATGGGTAACTGTCCTCTTCAGATGGAGACTTAGATTTTCTACCAAAATTAACAGTTTTAGTAGATTGTTTAAGTGGCTTTCGATTTTTTTCTTCTACTCTGGAAACTTGGGGAATATGATGATGGATGGGAGGTACTCGATCCTCAACTACTTGTTTAGAACATTCTTGTTGCAGTATATGTTGTTGTTGCTGTATTTGTTGTTGCTGTATTTGTTGTTGCTGCATTTGTTGTTGCTGTATATGTTGTTGTTGCTGTATTTGTTGTTGCTGTATATGTTGTTGTTGCTGTATTTGTTGTTGCTGTATTTGTTGTTGCTGTATATGTTGTTGCTGTATTTGTTGTTGATGTATTTGTTGTTGCTGTATTTGTTGTTGTGGTATTTGTTGTTGCGGTATTTGTTGTTGCGGTATTTGTTGATGTTTATTAAGCTGCCAGGGAGGTGTTGATTTATGTTGAGGTCTTAATTGTTTTGTAATTGATTGTTGTATATTTTGTGTATTTATTTGTTGTTGTACTTGTTTAACTTGTGGAGTTTGTGGTCTTATCTGTGGAACTTCAACAGGACTTTGGTTATTAATTGTAGTACAAACATTATTTTTTAAATTACAATCCATATGATGATGGCACTGTGACTGAGGTGGTTGAGGCTCATATTCATACTGTGATGGATATTCTTGTGTTGGATTATTTCTATTGTCTGGATAAGATTCTGTATAATTATTTTGATCTTGATACATATCAGGATAATATTCGTGATTAGTAGATTCATTCTGTCGTATAGGTTGTGACTGTGGTTGCTGTTGATATGAGTTAATTTGGTTACCATAACTAGGATTTTGATCACTCGAATTACAATAGTGTCCACAATGACTAGAACAATTGAAACGGCAACTCCCTTGAGTTCTTAGACTATCATAATTATTATATTGCATCTGTTCTGTTTGGTACATATTATGTGTATTTTTTTGATAATATTCTTGTGATGTCATTTCATTTTGATATGGTTGGTGATGTGGTTGACATGAAGAGTCCGGTTGTAATGCAGTTGTTTCATGAGATCTACATTGAGGGGAGTTATACCTATAACCGCTTCGATATGATTGTTCATATCCAAGGTCTTGCTGGTATGAATGGTTTGGGTAGTGAGGAACTCTTGGATTTCCCAAACCCATTGATTGGGATTGGGTATTTGGTATTATTGTTCCTTGAGGATTAGGCATTACATTTTCTTGAGAATTTGGCATCACAGTTCCTTGAAGATTTGACATCATTGCACTTTGAGAATTAGGCATAATTGGTCCTTGGGAATTTGACATCACAGATGAACTTTGGTTTAGTATTGGTGGGGTTTGAGGATTTGGCACTACATGCTGCATACCTTGTGACATTACTTCTGGTCCTTGAGTATTCAACATAGGTTGCGGAGATTGAGGATTTAACATTGCAGATGTTCCTTGAGACGAAAATCTTATTTGACTAGGAACAGTAGATTGATCTGGCCATTGCATCTACAAAAATAAAAATTTTACATTATTAACATATTTTAAAAACGTATACCTAATAATAATATACAAAATTATTAATAAAGTCTCACTTGATGAGAATTTGAAACTTGAGAGAAGTTTTCTTTTCCGGATTTTTCACCTTCATAAGGAGGAAACGAATATTGTTGCTGGACACCAGAAAGTTTTCTTTTTTTTCGATTTTCTGCCATTTCTAAGGAATATTTGTTAAATCTATTTTCGGGATTGTTAAACATCATTTTTCTCTTGTGATTGCAAAGATTGGTCATAGTGTTGAGGCCCGACGTAGGTTTCGTCATTACCTATAATTTAATCACATATAAATCTATATTATATATGTTTTGTACATAAACGTTATAACTCATATTTAAATATGATGATGTATTTGATATATGTGAATAATTGGATAAAAGATTTATATAAGTATATATAGCATTACAAATAAATATGTGGGAGTGTCACCTTGGGGAATTTTTTGGAGGATAGTAGACTTGTCAAGGACAAGATTTGTGAATGGTTAATGGCTACGCCTTGATAATAATTATGACACTTCATAAATGAAAAAAAAAAATCAAGGTCAAATATCAAATAAATCATTATATGCATGTGTGTAAACAAATGTAAAGATCGTGAGAATCGTTAAATATTTTATGACGTCTATACATTCCTTTTAGTTATGGCAAAATGTATTTGATAAAAATTAACCAAAAACTATCGCAACGAATTCACCATAGACATTTAAATTTATTAGGTAAATATTTTAAATGTTTCTGCATTATCTCTATTACCTAATCAGTACGGAAAATAATGTAACAAAGCAAAAAAATAACAACTACAATCTATTAATAATAACTTATGTGGTTGAAAATAACCACTTACCTAACAGAAACAGAAAATAACGAGTAAGAAAAAAGTAATAATAATAACATACGAATAGAAATGTGTTACCAATCTTATCCGTAAATCATAAATAAATAGTAAATGCTTAAAATAAGCCAATATTAAATAATAACTTTTAACTTCAATGAACGTCATTAATGTGTTATAGGATCAATTGCATGTATAGGTAGGGACAAATTGTACAAATTGTACAGTAGGTACAAATTAATATTATTCGCTACTATTTAGTTATAACTTAAAAGTTATTTATTATTTTATTAGAATTGTTAAAGTTCAAAAATAAATTTGTTTTAATTACATTTAAAAAAAAACTTTGTTTAATGAATCATATTATGTCAAATTGTATGACAACAATTTAAAATCTCAAAGCTGGCGCTCGTTTGCAAATTATTAATAGCATGTTTAATACAGTGTATATTTTTATCGTGCGAGCTCTTTGGACGGGTCCCAAAAAATATCATCAAACCAGCAGAATTTGGTTTGTTTCACTTTGTCCAAACCCAAAATGAACAACAACATTAGACGATAATTACCACTCAACAAACATCTACACAGATATGTAGGGGAAAACAGTAAGAACTCAACAGTTTCGGTCTGCCAGTCACAAACATCTTGGTAATTCGATTGTTGTTTTAAAAATTCGTTCCGTTGAAGCTAAATATTCAAAAGAAAAATAACATGACCTTCATGGTACTTGATCACAATATATTGTAGGTCTTAATAGTTAATTGTGTAATAAAAGTATTAGCATTTTTAAATAATTAATTAAATAATACTAACCAACCATTGTCATCTTTCAACAGATTTTGTATTATTAACTAGGATGCTCAGTGGATCTCAAATTGTTTAGTCAGTCTAAAAAGATTTACTTGTTAACCGACACAAATCTCCATTATGTATAACTATGTTATTATTATTTATTATTAAAATGTATAATGTTATAGATAGAATTTAAAATATGATTCTACTGACTTCAGATTAATTTTATCATAAACGTGTTTATAAGGGGGACTTAATATATTTACATTTAAAAGTATTAGAGAGAATATACCGTGTCCTTGTTTGAGAGAACTTATAAGTAATAAACTGCCTTGTGATTTAAATACTGTTTAATTTTGTAAATAAATTATAAATTATAATTATTTAAAAAATGGATATCAACACATTTTACGAAAGTCAAAATTTTTTTTAATCGGTTTAAAATTAAGGTGCAGCATCCACTGTTTTCGTAGTGATGTAAAATTGTAGTACAAATATAATATACTTACTATATAGTTATACTACAATTTTATATCAAACAAATTATAATTATAAAATGTTAGAAGTTGGTATAAAAATTATGTTTCATTAAAATAATATATTGAAGTAAAATATGGGTGTCTATATAGGTTATCAATGGCTAATTTATTGAAACACTTCAATATTGTTAATCAGACTCAATGTTTACTTTTCAATTGCATCGATGAACACACATAAATGATATTTTATTTATAAAATTACATTAAAATGGAGTATACTAGCAGTCGGTAATCGGTATACGGAGAACTGAGCTTTAGTTATTTTTTTATGGCATAAATAACGTAATAAACGAATTATACGATACTATAAAAAGAACTTCATAATTAACATCAGGGAGACCGGTTTTCTTAGAGCTTAAGCATAAACCGGTTCTCTTGACGTCTACTGGTAAATGATGATTATATATTTTGTATTTGTTTGTTGTTTTTTTTTTTTGGAGCATGGTTTCCAAAATTTCGATATAAAGCTTTATTAGAAAGTTATAGTTTGATAATATTGTTTGTTTATTCACTAGCTTTAGAAATCTTGACAAAATAAATTCAATTTTTTAAAATTATAAAAATCTTTTTAACTTGATTAGAATTGTTAGTACTTATGTATTTATTAATCGACGACTATTAATAAAATTATGTTTATCCCCTCGAAATTATGTATACATTTATAAATATATAATTATTTTGACCTCAAAAATATATTATCACATAAACTATAACTAAAAGTTTCACGGCGCTTTTGAAAATTACTGGAAAAATTTTACTTTTGACCCCCTAAAGTACCAACTAGATTCACTTTCCTATCAGAAAATATACTGTTGAAGAAAATCCAAGCACGTTGACTGTCCTAAAAGGTGAAGACAGACACAAAAAATATTAAAAAAATAAAAAACACACATCATTGTAAAATCAATGCATTCATCGTTCCACTCAGAATCTAAAATTTGAATTCAATAAAAAGTCATTGATGGTGTGATCTAAATTAAAAGACTGATGAGTGATGGTTAAGAAATATTAATTAATTAATTAATGTAAAACGTTTTCTCGTATCTAGAAAGTTGATAAATTAAATAACAATCAAATGTTTCAGAACTTTCTAGACGTATAACGTACAATATTACACAAGTGGTGTTATATTTTACTCATGAATGATAATTTTTAAATATGACAAATAAGCAGCAACCATGAAATTTTTTGTTACATTTTAAAAGAGTACGTGCAAACTAACCATTCAGTACAATGTTTAATATTACAATTTTACAACTATTCAAAACAATATAGTACGTTTTATAATTTATATCAAATATTTATTATGTTTTTTAACGTTATAAAATAATGATAAACATGTACAATATACATGATAAAATTGTAGTACTTAAAGTGTACACCGTGGATACTATGGTAATGTGGTAACTAAGTGTTATTATAATTATTAAATTATATTACTACAAAGATTTGTTAGTAGAAATTTAGTCTCATACTACATGTACATTGTGATTGATAAATTACAATTTATTATTAAACGATATTTATTATTTTAGAGATGAGAATTCTGAAGAAGTGTTGAGTTAATGTTTTATTATACTTTATGCATAATAAACATGTTGGCTTCGATTTTTCATTTTTAACTAAATGCTGTAATTTATATTTACACATCATTTTTAAAATGTTATTATTTAAATTATTATACATCTAATATAAAAAAATTGACCTTGTATTTCTCTACTTGTTTTATATATTGAATACATTATAGGAATTAGAATAATACAAATATTGTAATGTTTAAATTAAAATACAAATTTTAAATCACATGAACAGTTGTATCTATATTAACTATACAGTCAGTGGCGTCATTTGGGGGGGCAAGGTGGGCATTTGCCCCTGTCTGATTTTAAAAGCGGCCCGAAGGGCCGGTGACCAGTTTTTGCCGTTTTACCATTATTATTTTTTATCAGCGCAAAAACATGTCTATTTTATATTATAATATTTTCAGAAAATATTATACTACCCATGTACTCAGAAATTATTGTCACTATGATACATTTTTTCTAATAATTGATAGTTGGAATATATTTATATTTAGACGTATGCGGGGACGTACACATTGTATGTAGATATGTTTGTTTGTGTGAGTGTATAACAATAATAATAATGATTAATGAGTATCGTAATCCCGTATAGTTTTATTTCTAAAATCTAAAGTTAATACAAATTCTAAAAACAACAACCGATTGGCACTCTTATTAATTATCATTGTCCATTGATACCAGACTTCATACGCAGTTAACTTACGAGTTGCGACACTCGTGTATGGTAAACTATTCAACCATTCTGCGTATTGTGTTGTGTAGCCAGGGCCGGGTTGGACAAATTCGGCCCACCGAGTTTTCCGTACTTTACCAACCCACTTAAAAACTGGCGGCCCTTGGGTACGCTCTTATTCCGTGCATAGTTATTTTATTTTATAGTCTCCATTTCTACAACTTTTAAACTCTTAACATATTTTTAGTCAATGCGGCCCCTCATGACTTGAACGGCCCAAAATTGTCACGGCCCGCTGAGTTTTACATCGGTAACTCGCCGGGTCAATCTGGCCCTGTAGTGTACCTTATCCTAACTAAATTAAAATTTATTTTTTCGTGACGCGTGTTTACATTAATCTTTCAATTTGAGCAAAATATGACTTAAAAAAAAGTAAATGGGTGGTGTGGTTAAAAATATAAAATTACCGCAAACCGCTCAAGAATCGAAAACAATTTCTGGTATGTTTAATAAAAATACGAAACTTAAACCAGTAAGCACTAAGCAAGCAATAAAAAATAAATAAATATTATAATTTAAAATAATATTAATTTGAAAATATATCGTAGACATATAGAGTATAGGTGATAAGTGATGAATCAGGTAAAATTGATTTATAGATGATGCAGTTGATATATTTTCATAAAATAAAAAAAAAGAAGATATCCTTTAATAAGCTACTAATATTTTTGTTTATCAATAAATATAATATGCTAATATGCTATATTATGTTTGTAGACTTTTAAGTTTTAATTGATGTAGGTGTACAATTGTTTTTTATAAAATATCTGCCACCTTCTATTTAA